AGCTGGCAACTATGTTTTCTGAAAAACAAAGCTTAGCTGGTCCTCAGGATCAGTGAGGGGTACAGTGTCACCCTGACATACACTCTATATGACCACCAGGTTTGAAAAGACACCCTTGCCCTCTTGTAGCCAAATTAAGACATAGTAAAAAGTAAAAAGACAGATTAAAGACATGTTTTGACCCATTAATAACAAGTTATTAGTTACTTATACTGTCCACCATTTCCCAGAGTATATAACACTTAGTTTGACAATCGCTGCACACATTGCAGCCAGCCTCAGGTTTCATCTGATGGCAGTGAAGGATTAAAAGATCATTTCCAGGCACCTTCTTTACACCAGTAATCTATTACCATACAGAGTGTGTTTTGCTGTATTTGCCTTTTGCAAAAGGAAAAAACAAAATAAAACAGCAACATAAATACACAAGAAACCTGATTAGATCCCCAAGGGCAATGCATATATAGTGGTGGGTTTTATTGTCTGATAAGGGTTCCTTTCTCAAGTTTCACAAAAATGTTACTAGTTACTAATACATTACATAATTTTAATAACTTAAAAAAATGATGAAGAATTTCTAGGACCCAGAAGATGGTGCATTTGAACACTGAAATAGGACTATGAATTAGTGATACACATTTTAGGTAGAGTAATAAGACCTACTGTGATTTAATTCTGAGTGTCTCCCCATTAAACTAAACACTTCTCAAAAATACATTCAGACAACATCTTTGAGAAGAGAGGCTTCTCACCTGACTGCAGTTCTAGTGGCAAGCTTCAGCCACTAAAACATCTCAGAAGCCCTGCTCAGTGTTTTTACCTTTATGTCTGACTCGGGTGGATAAGCTGGAGTAGATGTCCTCTGCATGGATGTGAAGACCTCTGTAGAATTCATGACATGCCTCATCGCCTTTCCCATGCAGGTGCTGCAACTGAACTGCAGAGACACACGTGCTGAACTGAATCACTGCACACACCTGTACAGCATCCTTCAGAAACAGGATGTGTTTTTTTTAGATAAGTGCTATATATTGTCTGGAGTGACCCTGCAGGCTTCATTGTCACTGAGTATGGGGGGGTAGATTCTGTTCAGCTGCAACACCAGTCTGTCAACCAGCTCAGTGTCCATCTGGAGCTGCTCATGGTAACCGTCAATGTCTAGTCAAGAAAGACAGAAATGACAACATTAAGAAGAAACAGTGAAACCGTGTGAAATGTCTGAAACAGGTCATGACCCTGTGCAACTACAGCCCTACATAAAGCTCTAATCAGAGGTCTGAAGACTTTGTGTATAGTCTTAAGTAGTTTCTTTGTAAGCTGGTCTTGGCATCAGCCCTGCTTTGAAAATAAATGACTAAGAGGTTTATTCTCCTATTTAGACAGGTAACTACAGTGCTGCAAAACTGTCCATTTGGTCACAGAGGTGTCATTTATTGTTTTATTTTATAGGTCGACCTGTTTTCCATTTGTATTAATTACCGAACATAATCAAATAGGGCCAAGTAACAAGTCAGTCATTTTAGTAATACACTCACCTTGTCACCTGAAATTCCTGTGTACTGTACATGCAACATCATTACACAGTCCAGTCTAAATCGTTGTACTGCTCCACATTTTTATTAGTCCAACAGAAATAAATGTACACCACTGCGCTCTTTCCATTCCAATACATTCTCACTCATTATCAGTAGAAGTCTTTGATTTATTTACATTCCTTAAAAATGATATACATGCCAGTGCTTTCCAGCTGCTCTCCTCCTTCAGCAAAGTGGACTATCCTACCCTGGAAAGTGCTTTTCAGACAATTTCTTGAGCTCTCTTGAATGTATTGTGAAGCATATCCCCCATCAACACATTAACTGTTAACCTTAATGTCAACAGAACTATTCAATTTAAGTTTGATAAAGGACCATAAAGTACCTCAACCTTACAGGCATCCAACAAGGCTGGTCTCCTGAAAGTGCAATGGCTGCACCTTTCAGGCAGGGGGCAGTGTGCCACTACAGTTCACAAAAGTCACATGCTGTAAGCCTGTCAGATTGGCATGCCTACAGAACCTTCATGCTGTGTAAAACTGCAGATGTAACACTTTCAGTAAGACCAGGAATATTCAGTTGTTACATCCTGTAGTGCACAATGATAAAGGTAACACTGTTTTATATATTTGGTCAGTGAATAGATCCTTGACTGATGGTACAGTTTGGCATGTAATGTGTCCTCACACTGGTAAAATCCTTAAGGAAAATTCTTTGGTTTGGTTCATGCTCCACGTGTTGGACTCATCTGTGGCTGATGAGTTCATCCCTGACAAATGTCTCTGCTGTTCTCCATACTGCCACACCAAATCAGGCCCCGCTGCTGAAATCTGGGCCAGGTTTGGGCTTGTAGTGTGACAGGAGGGTGGAGGAGGTCCAGGGTAGTGAGGTGGAACAGTGACTTGTGCAGATTCTGGGGTTTGGAGAATGACAGGCTTGGCATAGTCATGGCCGGGTAGAGCAGCGGGCGACGGAATGGAGTCATATATGCAGGGAGGACCAGGGGCGCTCTCTTGATGACATCTGTGGAGGAAAAGACAAGAAGATGTTTCCCTATTTTTTCTGCTGTGTGCATGTCTTCATGACCATTTTGATGAAAGTCAGCCCATGTCTCACCTGCAGTCCGCAACGCTGACACACATGACTGTGTCATGAGTGGCCCATGAAGAGAGCATCTGCTCCTGTGTGTTGTTGTTATTGTTGTTCCTGTTTTTATGGCTGCGGTGAGACCTGGCGTCCTTCTGATGTTGGGTCTGCTCCTCAAATTGCCCCACATCTGTCTCCCTGGTTAAAACATTTAAACCTGAGCCTCAGTATTTCAGTTTGTGAATGTATTACAGGAAACTGACTGATCTGACTGACACACTTCTTTGTTTTTACTGCATTCTTTTACTCAAATACAGTTTTTAAGTACAATTCTGAGGTGACTGTACTTCATTTTATGTTACTTTATACTTCTACTTCATTTCAGAGGACAATATTGTAGTTTCTATTCCACTGCATTTATTTCACATCTACTAGGTTACTTTGCAGATAATGATCTCACATTAAAGAACATGCAATAATTGAAAATACAACACATTGTTCAAGATTAAACTAGCAGCTCCCAGTGTATTTGTATTTGTCATGTCTCAGGTATCTATGAGTTGTTAGCAGGTCCAGCAAATAGATACAGTATGTCTTCTCTAAACCTCTGAAAGGTTTCATATGAATACATGTTCTGAGTCCAAAAAAGGTAAACTTCACACAAACCCCAAATATGTGTAGGAGAGCACTGATTTTGTTTTGCCTTATTCTTCTGTTTGCATCTCACTCACCTTTCCTCCGTTTTTCTTTTGTCCTCTTTGACGCACTTGAGCAAACAGCAAGTGATGAAGGCCATGGACATGAAGAAGATTATGGCTGAGCTTACAATGGATACCAACACAGCCAAACGGAAACCGCTGTCCCCATAGAGAAACAGAGCTGCAGTGAGAGAGGGGAAGACTGTTGACTAATTTATTGACTTTATTTCCATGTAACACACTCAGTATATTAGACAACTCCACCCATCATGCTGCAAAGGCCGTGTATAATAATTTCTTACCAGACTCAAACCACATAAAACACCATCGCTTTGCACAGGGTTTGCAGGCTGCTCAAAACCATCACACCTTTCATTATTGTGTAACCAGAGGAGATTGGCAGCAATAAAAAGTCATTTTGCTACAAAGTGCACTCAGAATAGAAAAGACAATAAAACATAAATTCCACATCAGACAGCTTCTTTTCTCCCAGGATGACTGATTCTGAAATATAATTCATATCCTGCTCTCACTTTTTCCATTCACTTAAAAGAATAACTGACTGTGCACCTGCTTGAAATTATTCCATTCTGCCAGCATTAGCATTAATATTCTACTTTAATGTGTTTTATCTCCAAGCAACAAATCATTTACTTTCAAATGTGTTCTTACAGCATTTAAAGCATTACTTATTGCAAGCCAAATACTAGGTGTCTTCATCTAACACTGCCCAGTAGCCACAATGTCTTTCACATAATGTTTCATGTATATTCCATCTCTTCAGAATAATGAGCAGACAGACAGTTCAGGGGAAATTTTGCAGCCTCTGCAGTTCTCTCAGGAAAAGCATTTGGGACATTTAGTCTGCACACACCGTTACAGTAAGTGTATGAATAAATAGATTTATAAGGTGTCGTGCTCCTGGTTACAAGTAAATGAATCCTACCTGTTCTTTCTATACCAACTGTTGCTTTAGTGACTCAGTTTCTATTCCCCATTTCTGCTTACGTTTACAGTACATCTCCCCCACCCAGTGGGTGTAGTTGGTGCTCATGACACACATTAGTGTTGAATCAGTTTGTGTTTAGCTGAGCACTGCAGGAAAATGACTTTGCCCACACTGGTACCATTTCCATGGATGATCCTCTGGGCTGGTAGTGGTATGGATGTGCACTGAGCCTGGGACTGACCTAAACGAGCTGCAGCTGGGACTCAGAGTGGAATGGGACAATTAGTCTACAGGTTGAGTAAATGAACCCCTGTAGGGCTGCACAACATTATGTGTCAAAACATTGCCCCCCTTCTTTATTATGCTGTGCTGCATCAAATTGTAACGATATTGGAACAGGAGATATGATTATTCATAAAACAAAAGCCCATGAGGCTGCAGGAAACACATAGGCCATCTGGAGCCATGCTAAATAACCAGTGATCTTATAGCAGAGTGTTCAGCATATTAGTGTGTGTGTATGGGGGGGGGGCACAATGAACCTACAGTGTAAGAGTATCCCTTCATCGTGATACAAGCTGTTGGAATGCAAATAAACACATGATCAATCTGGTGAGTTCCAACAAAACTGGGAGGGATAATGTGAGCAGGTCCAGGAAAAGTCTCAGCAAGCTTGTTTACTGAGGGAACCAGCTCCTGTAAAGCTTTCAATAAAAACAAACAACAATAAAACTTGTGACAGGGAGAGAGGTTTTGCAAAGTTCCTCCTTTGTAACTACTTGCGTAGATAAAGGATAACATCAAAGAATGTGAGAGAGTGTGCAGCTGCAAGAGGATAGAAGAGGGTAGAAGTTTCAATGCCAAGGAGAGTCAAAAAACAACAGTTCGTGGTTTCGTTATCAGACAGGCAGACAGGAAGCACATTTGAACATTTTCTGAAGAATTGTACAGAAGCAGTGGGATAGAAGCAGCTTGGTATAAATAGTTCCCCGAAGGCCGTCGGTGTTAGATCTTCACATTCATATTTATGTAACAGAAGGACCTGCTGATAAGCAGAGAGCATCACTTTTATGCAGTGTGTGTGTGTGTGTGTGTGTGCGCGCGCGCGTCAATGCCCATCGTCAGCAAAAGAAGTTACTGATGGTTAAGCCACCCATTTTCTCTTCGTTTTGTTTGGTCTCATTCTCTTTTAAAATTAAATCATGTAATCTGGAATGAATAAGTACATTACGTTAACAATAGAACTGTAACAAGCCTATAATCTTACCCGAGTTATTCTGATCACGGACGTTATCTTTGTTTTTAACATCAGTTCTGAACACATCTGTTACTGAAGCGGTTGCCGCCGACATGTTGGTGACAGACTCCGCTCCGTCTCCGCTCTTCTGGTTGTGCGTAAAGACTGCGCGGCGATGCTCCTCTGCGCCCAGTACAGGACACCTCGGGAGTCCGTTGCTGGAGTTGTGCGTTATTCGGCTCTCTACCTCTGAGCGGACAGCTTATCATGCACAGAGTCCTCCCGCAGATCCGTCTCACTGCAACACTCACTTATTTGAAGGTTAGGAGTACGCACAGTGTGTGGCTGTCGCGCAGGCGAATGAGCCAAAGAGAGATGAAGTGATCCGTCGAAATCTTGTTGACCAAAACAAAAATGTGTGTATTACACCAAGTGAGTTAAAGTTGGATATCAGAGCCGCGTTTAGTGAGCAAGAGAGTGATGAGTAACAACGGCAGCAATAATCCGCTCTTTGTGGACAGGATGTCGCACAGCTGCTCTGAGCCTATCAGGATGTGGAGCCACAGACTGGGGTGAAAATTTGCAAAGCACACCTAGCCAATCAATGACGTAAAGCTTTTCCTTTGCACTAGATCCTATAGATTGTAGAAAGCATAGATCTCACTGTCCCCAACTAACGACTTTACATTTATTAATTGCTACTAAATATCAGCTGCACAAGTAACAGCAGTAGGACCAAACAGAGAGGGAGTAAAACGTAAGAAATATAAAGCAGAAGCATGAGAAAGGTGTGTGAAAGAAAGATGTTTCAGCTGAGCCCAGTCGTGCTGTCTTTCTTTATTGAAAGTATACCAGATTACATGATTCTTTATTGAAACATTGAAAGTATTGTGTCAGAACCCTTATTTCTCTATAAGTATGTCTAACCACAATCTAAATATCACTGTGACTCAAATTCTGTTTAAATTTCACTTCACTTCCCTTTCTGTTTCTCACTGTGGTCACTGTTCATGTAAGCCTGTGGTCAACCGGTGACACGGATGACCTGTATCATTTAATAGTTTTACTGACAGATGTCTTAATATATTCTACCATTCAACATAACATATTCACAGCATAAAGAGTGAGAAAATAGCTCTGGGCCTTCATTACTTAAGGAGTAGTCATGGGTGGGTGCAACATGGAAATGTGATTAATGAAACAAACATACTGATGCATTTTTGTCCACTTTACCATAAAACAAAAACATGTGTTGACAAGCATATCACACATCATACAACACAGGCATATAGCCTCGGCACAGGATTCTATTTTTAAGGTTGCCTTCACATCACAAAGTGGCACTTTCCTCTTGTTCAAACTGCATGTCAGTCTAAATTTCATTGAGAATTCTGAGCATGCATAAGTCACTTTCTGCTGAGGGTGATGTGTCTCCACGAGCGCTGCCCTGAACCCCACACACCACCTCAGCTTCTCAGACAGCAGTTTGCCTCTTCATTCATGAATATATTAGCATAGCTGATTAAAAGTGTTCACACTCAAGACTTAAGAGCTATGCAAATGACAAAGAGTTATGTTCATAGCTGTCTTATAATATGCTGTTTATTGTACTCTCCATGTTATGGAGTGACACAGTTCATTAGCATACTCTTAGGAAATTATTTCTTAATTAATTCCACTAAAACTCCCACCTAACTTTTCATCCTTCTGTAGACATGAAACAAGTCTTAAATGTTGGAGTTTAGTTCAGCTCCCAGTGTCAAACATGGTTATAACATTTTCCTTTATGCAACAGAATTTTTATAGCAATGTACTTGAACAAAAGGAACATCTCTGAATGTGCTTTCTGAAATAAATAGTTGTGACACTTTTTATTCTATGAAATCAATGTTTGTGAATATTTTGTGTTACAGAAGTAGACAAAAAAAAATGTCATAACGGATGAAGAGACTGTGAAATGAGTCTACCTAAAGTGTTTGCCTTTTCTGTTGATTTGGAGACAGTTGCTACAGCAACAGTAAGATTGCTCTGTCATAGTCTCAGTGGTTACAGTTTGGACTGACTTTGTTTTATTCTCTGCACAGGCTTGTGTGCTTGTGTGCAACCAGGAGACTTGGTAATGAAGCACAGGACAGTCAGTGTCTCTTTTATTGTATTAAAAAGGAAGAAAGCGCATAATGAGCATTTTGCCTATCAAGTCGCATCAATTAATACATCATAACAATGCCTGTACAAAAAAGTGGAGCATAGAAACTTGAATGGGCAAAAAAGACAGGATTAAAGTAGAAATATACAATGAAAGATTGACTTTCCCAAAAGGATTTCAGGGGTTTCACATTCCATAAAATGATATTTCAAAATGACATGCAAATGGTGACTTTACACACTCAAAGCAAACAGATCACAGCTACAGACTCGGTATAAGCCCATTAGGTTTACCTGCATTATGGAGGAGGCTTCTTAGGGCTGCTCAAAATCATTACATGTCAACCTCATGATGGGACAAAAGTCAGATCACTAAAGCCAGTATGATTCATCATCAGGAAACCATAAATGAACAAACTCTTATTCCGGTCCATATGGAAATATTTGACAGGATATGTAAAAACTTTGATCTGTTGTGGTGTTAAAGGAAGAGTAGATTTCATTCTCTGGGGACCTTGAGTGCTTTTTAATCAAATTTCATGGCAATTTGTCCAATAGTGGGTGAAGTATTTCAATTTGAAAAGTGAAGGACCAATTGACAACATTCAAGCCGTAAAGCCACACTGCTGCTCCAGCTAAACACGTCATCCTCACTCTGCCCCTGTTATCTGAGAGGAGGAGAAGTAAACGACAAAAAGAAAGAGATGTAAGCAAAGAGGGTAAAAGTGAATGAAAGCCTGCAACATAGTAAGAAAATTGCATCAGTTTCATGTGAGTCAGCTACCCTGTAGGATCTTTACGCACTGGGACATCTAACCAATGCAACTGGGGACATTCCTAGTGTGGTACTGACAGCGAGCTAACAGGATGGGTGGGCCCAACAGTGCTGAAGACAACAGATAAAAGATAAGATGGTCTGGAGGGTGGCAGGCATTTATATACTGAAACAGAACAGGACAGAAAGGACAGTGACAACATACTGTAGCTCTGGCCTGAACATAGATGGTGGGAAAACTAAGGGGAGACATCTATAAGGTTAACTGAGGTGCAATGTGCTCAGTTGTTCATTTCCGGCAAACACAGAAAGCTATATCACTTTTGTAAAGTTTTGCAAGAGAGCAACAACTCAAAAAGATAAACTACAAGACATCGCTTTTGATAACAGAGATATACTTCATATCATGCCTGTGTATGTTCCATCTTCCTCCACCTGAACAACATGGCCTCAGCAAAGTGTTTACTAAAACCTCTTAATATTAAGCATCCTGATTATTTGCTAAAGTAGTGCCTGGATGCACTCCTATAATACACATTTTTATGACTCTTTGTTTGTTTCTGATGCTGCCATGATATTCCACATCATTTCAAAATGTTCCATAACAGCTGATGAAACGATAGATGCTCTAGAATATGATATTTTGGTTTGGTGTTTTACAGACATCATTTGTTCAGTGACCCTGAAGAATTGCTCTTGTTATTTCATGAAACAGTGTTGTTTTCTCTTGTGGGAGGGGGTTGTTAGAAGGCTTTGGGGAGAGGCAAAGTCATGGGTGTTCAAGCTAGAGGAACCACAAAGAATATAGTTTTTCTAAGGTCATTCCGGTCACTCAGTTAACTAGACTTCTAATCATCATAATCATTATTAGATCCAGCTTAATGATTACTAATTTGCATATAATTATAGGATGACCAACACTCTTTAGTGGCTGTTAATGAGATCAATAATATTGTCTCTGGTGATGTAGTGTAACTATTACAGCAATTAATCATTATAATATAGTAAATTACTCTTACATAGGCTATAGCTTGATTAAATGTAGGGCACTTCCCCAGGGTGTGTTGTTTCAGTGAGGAGGCCAACGTGTGAAGTGTTCAGATCCTACAACAGATATTATTACAATTTTACTGTGAATGGGCCTGAACTTCCAGAAAATAATTGGTTTGGGGAATTATGAGAGATACGGTCCCATTTACATCAACCCCACTGTGAGTCTTTTACAAGAACCTGTCATGAAGATGTTTGACACTAAAGAAACAGACAGAGACAATGCAGCTGGGAGGAACAAACCATCACATACAAATGGCAGGAAACCATTGCAACCACTTCCTTTACAGGAACAGAACTGTCTGCTTGCTTCACTTCAGAATGCACTGAAGCATTGCCATTTGAGGGTGTTGGCGCTGCAGCAGATATGCCACCAGGCAGTATGATACGCCACACCCTGAGAATAATGCATGACCCTTGTTTATCTGAAGCATCATATTTTTTGAACAAGGGTGAATGGTCTGGGTAACAGACAAAGTTACCAGCTAGCTAGTAAATAAAGTGGTACATCAATCAGACAAGGAGCCATATGCTATTGTCACGAGTTGGTAGAGATAGAAACCAGAGTGAGAAGAGAGTTAATATTCAACTTACACTCACCAGGTGACCAGATGAATGATAATGCTGATAATGTTGAAACAGCTGGATAAGTAAATAACCAACCATCTACTAACAAGGATATCAACTTAAAAGGTGATGATACTGTGTATCAACAGTGGTACATTCACAGCTTGTTTCCACTACTCCTGAACTACTTCTGAATGGGAAAAAACATAATCATTTATTGCAGGCTAACATCTCAGCTCCAACTATCCTTAGACCACAGGCAGCATGATTCCCTGTGGCCTAAGGATAGTAGAATTAACTTCTTTATTTAGAAAGGTAACACTACATCAGAGTGATGAATTGGAGGGCTGGAGTCTCTATAGAGCTGTGAGCTGTGGTGCAGAGATGAGAGCAAGCTGCTGATGCTTCCTTCTGTCACTAGATTAGAACTTTTTTGACTTAAAGTGATGCAAAGTCTACTGTAGCCCCTCCTTACAAGTAGTTGGCAGGTGTTCAACCAAAGTCATATCCTCTTCTGAGATTGTTTCACTTTATTGCTTTTTATATGCCCAAAATAGGTAAAACTATCCACTATTCCACTATTTAAAAAAAGACTATTATAACTGTGATTATATCGAATCATAGCTTGTGTAGTTCCACAAAATAATCAGTCACAAGCTTAGACCCATCATGACTGAGTTCAATAAAATACTACTATTATTTAGTGATATATTTTCAGTTCAACATTCAACTTTCACACTCAATCATTTGTGCAGCAGAAATATACCCTGTCTTATTAAAATTCTTGTAAACCCTTGGTGTATCCTAACCCCCAGGATGAGAACCATTGCCCTGGGCTAGGCTGTGTTTTGACCTGAATGCTAACAAGCTAAGGTTAATAGGAAGTCAGTTGTAGTTTTAGAGGTATATAGGTGAAATATTTGGACCTGCTGTTGGCATGATAAAAAGTGCCACTGTGGGTCAGAATGTTGAACCAACAGGCTAATAAACCAATGTCAGTAGTTTGACTAAATAGAGAGTAGAGAGATGACGACAAGAGAAGAGAAAAGATAAAATGGAGGACTGCAGGTACTGTATGTGAAACAAGTTAAATGCTAAATTCAAATGTTTTTGAACCACACAGATGCGTACACACACACACACACACACACACACACACACACACACACACATATATATATATATATATATATATATGTACACACACAATAACAAACAGCTGGTAAGAGGCTTATGGTCCAGTGGCATGTGACAGCTTTCCTATTAAAATCATTCTCCTCAGCTGTTGTAGAAGAGAAACCAGCAGCACAGAATCAGGGCCACAATCTGAAACTGTGAACAAATACCTTGAAATTTTCTGCTTGGCTTTGCTGTCCCCTACAACAGTTCTCTATTATGTTTCTGGCAACACTAATAGCTCAGTTCAACCAACCTTGCCTTTTGTTCTTTCAAACGGTCTGTGCCCTTGATGAATAGAGATATTAAGGGAAACCTTGAGGCCTCTGATGGAAGTCAAGTCAACATGTTATCGATGCAGTGCAGCCTTGGTAGAGTCAGGTATGACTGGCAAACACACATACTGCATGTAACTGAGAGTGAGAAAGCCAGGTGTGAGACAGAGGTGCATACAACTCTGTTACATAATGGGAAAACACCATCCCACAAATAATGTGGAAGGAGCAAAAACTCCTGCCACAAACATGAGTGTTCAAACAATGAAAACCCAAATTCGACTGTTGAGAAAGGTGTTAAAAAAAAAGATTAGTTGGAAAGAAAAACAACAACACAGAGACTTGAGTTTTCCAAGAGAGGATAGTGCATTTCTTAGTGTGGTCTCTGTGCTGCAGTAGACAACAGTACCCACCCTGTTACACTCTGCTCTAGATGAACAGTGTGTAAACCAGTGACAGAAGGAGGCAGTCAGCAGCTCGCTCTCTATCTCTGCACCACAGCTCACAGCTCTACAGAGACACCAGCCCTCCAATTCATCATTCTGACACATAGTGTTGACTTGCTAAATAAAAAAGTTATGGCTCATATCATTTATCAATAGCTGTCCTCTGCTTTTTTTTTCTATAAATGCTCATCAATAAGTTTATGACCACAAGAACTGGGAGGGAAGATGAAACTGAAGAAAATCGAGATGTAGAAAAATCGACCTAAGGCAGCTGCAGCAGCTTTTCAGTTCATTTTATGATACGTATACAAGCAGAAGATGAGCTGTACAACTGTGGATCTCTGGAAGTGTTCTGCCTGTGTGTTTTCTATGTTGAGAAGCTTGTCATTAGTCACCACAATACTGGAGATTTAAGTGTTTGGTTCTCATAGTGTTAGCTAAGACACTGTACTGGCTGTCAATAAAAGGTTCTGTTCATACACTTGACATAGATCTATCTTGTTCAGAAGTCAATCAATTTTAAAACACATACAAGACACTGACATGCAAAACAAAAACAACAAAAAAAACCTTCAGTCAATCACAGCTGACAAGAACGAAGCATAAAAAGTGATGATGGATGTAAAACCCTGAAATCTTAACTTAAAATATTGTACTGGGATGGTTCACAAAGTCCATGGTTTCCAGAGGATAAATAACAATATCAGTGATCCCCTGATTTTTCCTGCAGCACCACCACAAGATTCACATTTGTGATTTTCAGTGCAATTCTCAACAACTCTTAATTCTATACTTTGTGTTTAGCCCCAATTAGCACACACCCAACATACCTGTAAACAATGTCATTGTGAACTTGTAAGCATGTCGTCATTAACATTTAGCTCAAAACACTACTGTGCCTCGATACGGTCTCAGAGCTCCTGCAGGGCTGTACACCGTTACTGCAACTGTAGCCGTTAGTGGTAAACCTGTGGTCACTAATCCATGAATGTGGTCTGTGCTTGTCAAGTGTAAGTATGAGCAAATTAGTTTTCTTAGGGGGTAGCTGCATCTTGTCTAATCATTTAAAATCAATAATACAATAAATTTTTAGTAACGTGTATCTTGATTGTAAAAACAATTGACTAGATGGCCACAGTAAACAAACAATATTCCTGTCAGACTTTACTGCCGATGTCAAACATAACCTAACATCAGCATCTGCATGGTCACTGTCATTGCGACCATGCAGATGCTGATGTTAGTGTTAGTGTGCTTATAGCCACACAGACCCACCGGCATAGCTTTAGTCTTTTTGGTTTTAAAAACATTGTTTCCTGTGGTTGGTTTTACCTGTGCTCTGTGTTACTGTGTTATAAAGCACAAAATACTCATAAATACAGGCAAAAATGCTGAACACTAAACTCCTAAGACTATTATTGGCCATTATTAATGATCCAAACAAAAGTGAAAACTGGAAGTGAAGATGTACTAAAAAAAGAAAGGAACTAATACTACAGTATAGTAAAACTGCACATGCACACATAAATGTATTTGTACACATACAGTAGCCTATTACTCCTTACATCACACCAGCAACAAAGCGAATGGCTGCGAGAATTATTTCACATACTGTTTGGTGCGTGAGATCAATACAAGAACAGTGGCCAAAGTGAATGAACATCATCGTTTGTCACCGAGTGAGGAGTGGCCATGGACTGATCTTTGTCATAAAGGAAAAAACAAAGAGAAACATATTTTTCAAAAGAAACAGGATGAGACATGAAAATCTTCTTGGGCAGCATGGTACTGAATGAACAGCAATGTTTGTTTATTGTTTGTTTATGTCTCCTTTTTCCACTGTGCACAGTCCATGTTTAAAACACTACAGTGGTGACACTGTTCACTTACAGTATGATAGGAATGAATTCTGGAGCATAAAGAGAGGGACGGGGGCAAGAGTTCAAAGCATGGTACATAAATATGAGTGGGTTTACATGCACAAAGAGATTCAAATGTTTTTTTTTTTTGCTAGTTTTGCTTAAAGGCTGGTGCTGATAGGAGCAGGGTAACGGGAAAAGGCAAGATTAACAGTTGTACAGTACAGTACAGTACTTGATTTCCACAACATCACCAAAGGGGGAGAAGCAGGAAAATGTTTGCTATACTCAGAGACAGAAAAAGAAGAGAACCTGGAAAGGATTTATTTAGCATCTGTACAAGTGGAGATATTGAAGGACTGAACCTGTGCGCAGGGTCAGACTTGAGGCCATTCTGGCTGAATACTCTCATCAGGAGGAGTAAAGAATAATGACAGAGTGGAAATGTGGGTGGATCAGACTCAGATTACAGGTCTCAGAGTCCAGAGAGGGTGAAGGGAGAGAGACATATGAGGAGAGACTCTATAAGATAGGAGATGATCATGGGAGCATCAGGTGGCCAGCCACAAATATACACATCTCTGTCTTTTTAAGTTAAAATGTCTTTTTTTGTTTCTGTACAATACCCACTGAACTGCTACTGTGTTCCCAGCAGGAGAGCAGAGAGGCGGTGCAGGTTTGTTACACTACCATTCAATACCTAATAAACTTGGGAAGGGGCTCTCTCTCACACACACACACACACACACACACACACACACACACACACAAACACTTTTGCACAAAAAGTAAAACAAACCTATAAGAGTTAATGCTCCACCACACAGTCGTATAATGTACAAGGACCTTCATCTTTAAAAAACACAATACAGGAACCATTCAGCTATATTTTACATAAAACATGAGTTCTTCAAAGATCCTCTCCAGCTGTTGAAAACACTGAAAGAAATAATACATACATACAGCGGTATGATAGCACAGTCCTTCTTTTTGTGTGTTTTGACAGAAAGGGGAAAGAGACAAAAAGTAGCTGTGTGGTCATGAGGATTGGACTGAAGTGGCATAGGAAGGACTGAGTGGTCCTTTCAAAAGTAAAAAAAAAAAGTGCCAAGGTAAAGTGAATTCAAGTAATGTGTGCTCTATACACAGGAGAGGAGGAAGGAGGGAAGGGGGAGCTACAGCAGTCCCGTGGCTCCAACATGGCTACTGGCTCTTCCTGTATTCAGTCAGGCTCGTCGATGTATCTGTTGGTGTTTCTCCACGGGCAGCTTTGGAGAGGACATCCACCCACTTGGCCTGAACTTCTGCATCTTGGGCACTTAAGAGCAAAGTTTGCTGGGTGTGACTGAGGCGGAGCACGTGTCTGACCTCTGACTTTTCACCTGCTGATGGCGGTACTATGTTCACTTCGAACCCAGGAAGAGGCACCGCCCGTGCCCCTTTGGTATCCTACAGAAATGAGCAAAATCAGTCAATCAGAAAAAATCTGTAGTATTTTAAAATGACGTTCTCTTGAAAAGGCATTCTCTAAGCAAAGAGGCAACATACTGTACTATGAATATCATGAGTAACTGTTTGTCTCTTCATGTGCAGGAGAATATAATCCACTGGGCACATACAGTGAACTGTGTCCCCTTCTTTCCCTCCCCACCTTTCTTTTAGTATAATCAGGAAATGCCTGTCTATCTCCCATTAATCCTAATCTTTGGAAAAGAAGCTTTCTGCAGTGGGATTGGATATTAGTCTTGGAATTGAAACCCAGAGAGGCTTTCGCAGGCCGATTTCCCTTCTGTGCCATCCACTATGATATGAATGACAGCCTGCTGTGGAGAGCTTTCCAAACATGACTACTTTGGGAGTCTTTTTTATTTTAAGCAATCGTGCAAAGCGCTTGCTATATGCATTCCTTGGGAGGTTCTGAGCAGATTTATTGCTACATACTGAGCCAAGATTTCAAGGAACTACTGTGAATCCAAAGAGTTGCTTCATCTGGTCTGTACAAACTAAAACCCAGTCAAACAGAAGAGCAGCGTCACTGACAATGTCTATGCCTGAGGTCAGATTCAGGACAAGGAAATGCTCCTGGTTCAAATACTACACAGCACAGACAGTGCACAGACAACCTGGTACAGGCAGGGCATGACACATCACTCAGTAATATGCCAAGGCACTACACTGTATGGATGTTTAGCTTCAAAAGGGGGAAGGACACAGGATGTACAGACAGGCCAGATGGGTGCAGCAAAAGGCTTCATAGACATTGAAGACATGACTGAAGCATATGCAGCCATGTGGGTGAACCTTTGCAATGTTTATTGTCCTATATTTGCACAATGCTTAATTTAACAGGAGGAGTGCATGTAGTACAGTACTGTAAAGTGATGACCATTGTGGGTAAAAAGAACAGACTATAACACAACTTAAAATACATAATCCCTAAACCTAATGAAAAGGTGGAACATGCTTTAATGAACAACTGGATCACAACACATTGACACACACACCTGCCTCCAGAGTGTGCATGTTTAACTCGTACCTGTCCACTGCTCTGTAAGTACATCACCAGTGGCTCAGCTTTGGTGACAGCCACCCACATCTTGGTCCAGCTCTTCCCTTTCTCCTGCACTTGAAGGTGGCCACAGTGTAGACAGTTCTCCCCCGTTAGAGAAGTCTGTCGGCAAAAAGATATAATAATAGAAATGTTTGGATAAGGAGTCCAGCCACTGCTGCCTAGACATATTTGTAAAACACCAGTGTACAACTGAGATAACTGAAAAACTATTCACTGAGGACTGAATGTTGAACTGGACAATTTAATTTAGATTTCCTCACATAAATCGCTTTCTAACAGTGTTTTGAATGTTGCTGTGAAAATAATGTTCATTATTATATGTTTGAATTAATTTTTTAGTTGACATCCATTTGTATCATATTTTGGAGATAAAAGTTTCTGAGCAATTGACAGCACATATCTCAGCATGTCATGCAATGGATGACAGTGAGGTTTGAACAGGGACAGGTGTTCAAGCACGGCCTATGGCTCCCCCATGTGGTGACTAATCTCACCGCCGAGGAGAGTCCTCTCACTGAGACACTGGTCTGAATAAACCTGAATCACAATCACATGGCAGTTTCAACATTATGGGCAGTTTCCTCCTGTCAGCTGTTTAGTGTAACCGGAGCAGACATCCATTCACAGTATCGACAAAGACACATACAACTAAAGCAGCCAGACTGTTGAGTCAGCGAAGACGCCTGGTCCTCCTTAAGATGAGATCTCATTAACATATTAGTCGTCAAAGAGGGATTAGCCACACATGTACTGCTTGCGTACAATGTTCTGGTGTATGTGCAATGTCTTCAGTGGCTTCAGTAAACACTACTGTGCTTCTTCATTTCTTTGTATTGCCATCAAAGTCAAGCATCTGGCTGCTGCACCCCAGCTGACACTGAGCACTGGTATATAGAGAGATGTGGAGCTCGTGCACATGCCGCTCAGTCTCAGTATATGTGTGTGTGTTGTTTTTGTTTGTTTCCAAGCGTGCCTCACCTCAGCCGAAGCTTTCCTTTTCTGTTCACTAACACTGAGATTCTCCAGGCTGAGGCTCGCTTCAAAACACTCTGGGCACACACGGCACGTCTTGTTGTCCAAGGTCCTTGAACACTTTGCACAGATGGCCTGCAGAAAAGAAAGAGAGAGACTGAAAAGCTGCTCAGCTGTTCAGAGTTAATTTGGTTGAAATAAAGTTTCCACTTGTTCCCCGACTTTTTCCGATCTATATCCCACCAAACTCTGCCCAAGTTTCCCTTGTTCCATCTGTGCTCACCGCTCCACAGGACTTGCAGTGATGTTTGCGCTTGGTGAAATTGAAGCTCTCGTTGCAGCCTTTACATGCTTGCTTCTCTTTCTCCTTTTTCCTTGAACTCTTCTGGAAAATTAAAAAACACAGGAGTCATGTGTTAAAGTCATCAGCCTGTTCAAGTTCAGTACAACTGAACCACAGGGGACGTCAGACTACTTATGTTGCTCCATCCTTTGTCTTTCTGGCTGCTTGCCTTTCATTTCTCCTTTTTATTAACAAAATACACACAGCACCCACTCTTCTGGAAGATAGCTAAACTGGAGAGGCGATGGAGGTGTCCACAGCAGTGCAGACTGCCACACTGTTCTTTTCTTCTTCTTTATTCACAGGAAGACAAAGAAATCAACAAATAACTGACCACTAACCCCTCCAATCCACTGTCAAATCTAAACGGACCCGCTCCCCACCCCTTAGTATCAGACACGACCACCATCAGTCAGCAATCTCACTTCACTTACTTTCTTTCTGTTTTCGGGATCTTCAAATAGAGAGTTATCAACCCTCCATGTTTAGGCTGCCATTGTGCTGACTGAAAATTAAGTCTGTCTGAACAGGACTGTGATTAGAAGTAGCTGTTGGATCTATTAGAGTCTGTGTCATATGTCTAATCTGGACCAGGATGAGGTCTATTGAAAAGATTTGGGGTCTACTGGAATAGAAGTTAAACTCTCTGACACCTGTGTGCAATATTCTCCAGATATCTAAAGGGTCGAAAGTCTACATTAACGTCAGCAGTGCAAATACAATGTTTTTCGATTAATTTCCATTTTTATCAGCTTTTGGGTTTAATATCAAATTTAAATCTCTTCTTAGGACAGTTGCTGAGCTGCAAACACCATATCATTTGTTCTCAATTATACTGAGCACTGGTATCCTTTAGAGGCATACAGACTCACTAAAGTAAAAGCTTTTGAATCCAAAGCATGTCACCTAATACGTCACCACCTCATTCTCTTTCTTAATGGTGTAAATTTTCTGGGGTTAGACATATTTCTTGAAAAAAAAAAAAAAAAGAATTTTTAAAATACTTCATCTTACCTGTTGATTTGCACTACTCACATTCCAAACCAAAATTACAGGAGCCTTAAGGTGACATCTTACGTGATCTTGAGGTCCCTTGTTGCGAGGTTAAAATCTAGTTTCATGAAGGCTAATTATTAATAACTAATACAACACAGTTTTTGCCCCGGAGCCCCCTGAAGGGCTGATCAACCTGAGATGCCCAAGGACTGCATTAATATTCTCTAAATCAGAACTCTTTCAAATACCACCAGCGTGCAAGGTGACAAAAACGGTTTCTGCTCTGTATAACAGTAACTTACTCTTTCATGCAGTCTTTCACTGTCAGAGTCCATGGATGTGTTGCACCAGGGACCCTGAGGAGAAAAACCAACATAGATTAACCACACTGTCAAGCCTCCACCAGCAGCTTGCTCCTGCAGTCACATCTTTCTACCAGTAGGTGTCAGACTGGAACTGCCAGTGCTGGCCCTCTTTGTGTCAAGTTAAGTTTGGCAAGGGCCCATTTCTAGGCAGCCCAAAGTGGGTCAAAGCAGATCCATAAGAGTATTGTATACACTTTGACTTGGACTTTCCCTATTAGGTCATGAGAGCATTCTGGAAGAAGAGACTTGCAGACACTGTGTGTGTGAATGAAAGAGCTTCTTTATGTGTGTTTTCTGCGTATGACACTGTCACATCCATAGATGGAGAGCTGTTCAGGCAGACAAAGACCAGACTATGATGAACTTGTCTGGTATAGCATTAACCTCCCATGATTCATTGCACAGGATGATGTACTAATCGAGTGATTAATGAAGTGATTGATTAAGGGAGTGAGCGACTGACCGGTGATTCAGGGACATGGTCATCTTCCCGAGAGAAGGAGCTGTTGAAAGCTTTATTGAATGTTTCGCTGTTTTGTTTGTGCCGTTCGATGGTGGCCAGGATGACCTGAGAGCCGGAAGACAGTTAGAGGAGAGATGGAATGAACACAGAGGAAAGTGAGAGGAAACCAAAGAAGGATTATTGATCTGACACGTCGGCATTTGAATTCAATTATTCTCTTCATGATCGCCATGAGCAACAAAGTGACGTGCTGACTGGCCTGACCATACACCAACAAATGACAGCCCCAATGACAACATGGCTCCCCGTGACCCATGTCAGCTAGCAGTGATTAAAAACCTTTTCTCCTTACATTCCATTGTCCTTTGCGTTTCTGACTGATCCCTCTATTAATTTCTACACAACTTTCAAGTTTGCATAGAAAAAAAAAATCTCCTAAGCCCTCACTTCAATACAGCAGCCCCCTTTTCCAGCTAGCGAAAATGTTTTAATCAGCTTTGCTCTGCAGCAATGGGCTAAATAAGCAATAATGAGTCTTTATAGCGCCCAAACAGACTGAAAGAATGTTGGAAATCTTCAGAATATGTTCTCTAATAAAGCAAATTACCAAAGGAATAGACCCAGAATGTTGTATGCGTGCATGAGACAGACTGTGTGTGGGTGTACTATACAGTATGTGTGTGAGCATGTGTGTGGTCCTTGCCTGAATCCAGTCTTCCTTCTCCTCAGCTGTCCTGTAGACCAAATAAAATAGCATAAGATTATTTTATATTAACAAGCTAGAACTGCCACTTTGCTGTTAAATGCCTCCACCGACCAGTCAAATTTATGGGAGGATAGGCTGACCTTGACCTCTGACCATCAAAATCTAATCAGTTCACCTATGAGTTCAAGTGGACGTTTGTGCCAAATTTGAAGAAATTCCTTCAAGGGGTTCCTGAGCTATCACGTTCACAAGAACGGGACCCACAGATGCACAGACAAGCTGAAAACACAATGCCACTGGCCACAGCTATCGCTGGCATGGAGGCATAAAAATACTGACTGATATGTTGGATTACTGGATATTCACCTGAGAGTGCAACTGCACAGTAAACCGACATGTATGGAGTCAATAAGTGTTTAATGGTAAACAAGTAAATAATCATTATGGCATAATTATAACTTGAGTTCACAAATCAATGCAGCTCGCTGGCTATGCAGTTCACTAGTTAACCTGGTTTTGAGCTTTGTTATTACTTGGCATCAAAGTAATGAGCCAGCGTTAATGGTAGCTGTTAATTTAGCATCACTTCTGCAGGGTTTTCTGTTTATATACTGTATGTTTCTCAGAGAGCAACTCTGAGGAGCAGTAACAGTGTTTTCTCTATCTATAGAGTTGGGAGATGCTGGTGGGCGGCAGGGAACGTGATGGATTTGGTAACAGCACATATGTGAAAAATAACAATGGGAAGGAACAAGTGACATGAAATATACCTGAAAAAAACTAAATACAACTGTCACTGAGTAAAATACAATCTTTTCTGAAAAAGGACATTTAGAAATAAATTAATATGAGCTCCAATAAATCTATGTTAAATAAAAACAGCATTTCACAATAATGAGTTGTAACAGTTGCTGAGTCACACCTGGCCTGCAGCTCCAGTGAACGTTGCTTGCCAATGATGGCAAAAGAGTGAGGAAGGTTCTGCTTCACATTCTCCTGCACCTTGAGGTCAAGAAGCAGAGGACATGCGTTTGCACCAGGCAGAATAAATAAAAAAGACAGAGGAGGGGAAAACAACAGGGCAGCAAACAGAATGAGAAACAAGACCGCACCTCCATGCCAGCAATGTCAATCCTTTCTCTGACACTGAACTTCTGTCCCATCAGTCTGAGTTTAGGCACGCAGTATAGCACCATATTGTTGAACTAGATCAGACACAGAAATGCTGCAGGTGATGAACAGTGCAGGTAACAACATGGTAAGATACAGATATCCTCTGAAACATGTTATTTCTCTACGGTAACACTTCAGTCCTCTCACCAAGTAGAGGTATCGGTCTTGCGCTGTTCCGTTTTTGGCTGACATCTTCTTGATATGCCCTTCTTTGATGAGCTCGTTGGCTGGGTTAACTATGTCCTCTTCTCCCCCAAGCCGCTCATAAACCTCCAGCAGCTTGTGCATCTTCTCCTGAAAACATCAAACAACTGGAGGATGAGCAAAGTACAGTAGATGTTTAAAAGACAAGACAGATGGAGCTATACGCCAAACTCCACCAGAGAGGTCTCAGGGGTTTTTCAGGTAGGCAGAAAGCAAGTACTTTATTTCTTTATTGATTCATAAACACATTTGACTGCCTAAGTTGTTTAAAGAATGTCAGACATATGGGTGTCAGGGCCAGATAGAGGAAAGAGATGAGGAGGATGGGTGTTAAAAAGAGTCAGCCAGGCTTCTGCAAGCTGTGAAACTCGAGGCAGGAAACAGCAACTTCCTGTCTGTACTAATTCAACTTGTTCACTCCCTCAGACAAACGCTGTTGCTGACTGACAGCATTAGCAACTCTTTGATTGGGCAACACATTAGCTGTTTTTTAAGCTTGATGCGGTAGTGACAGAATGTTGGAAAGAAAGAAAGGCAAACACAACAGGAGTGAAGCGTAGCACTGAGTGAAGTCTTACCATTTTCCTGATTGCTGCATTGGAGTGATTCGCTGCAGTAGAGATGAGCTCCAATGCCTCTGTAATGCACATTCAAATACAAACATGCACAGTGTTTCATCATAAAATCCAGAATTAGCAGAAATGGAATCAGATTAACAGAATCTCAAATGTCAGACTGATATAAATCAATCTCTACTTCTCCAGTCTAAGTTATGCTTGTTGCTCAATGGAAAGAAATACCTGTAGGGTGTCATGCTAATTCTGTTCTATGTAATTAACAGGATTAAATGTTAACACACATTAACCCTTTATTGGGCAAAGAACCACATTTGCTCGCTTCTGTGGGCATCCTGACTGGCTATGAATATTTGTATAAAATAAGTAGATTTGTATTTTTGAACATTTTTATGTTTAAATATATGTCTTCAACTTCATCTGTGTGTTTTTTAATATGTTTTATATGTTACCCTGATTATTACCCAGGACAATAATGCAACATGACAAACATTTTTAAAAGTCAAAAAAATATAAACACAAAAATGATGTAGTAGTAACTAGGGTTGACATTTTGAACTTCCAAGTATTTCTATTAGTGCCCTATAAAGGGTTAAACACACTGTATGCATCAGGAGACTTCTAGCCTGCAGGGTGTCGAGTACTAATGTCTGTGAGCACCTGAGTCAGCCATCTCCATCAGGGCCTACATATACTGTACAGAGAGAGACAGCCAGGGGACAACTGTGATAAACTGCATTTCAAGTAGAGTAGACCAAACACCCCTTTTCCTGGATTACAGTCACAGAGAGCTATTGTTCAAAGTCATGTAAATGCACTCAAGGATGTGGGATGACATCAGATCATATACTATAAAAGACCTTTTTTAAGGCAGTCTCTACCTGGCATTGGATGAAACTACACAGAAGCCTGTTTGAAGCACCAGAGTTCCCAGTCTACCGGGCATCACAACAACAGCTGTGTAACCAGTGGCACTGGCGCTGCTGAACGTCTTCCCATCTTCTCCATCATAAACTGAGTTAAATCGTTATTCTAATGAAGGCATTACTTTTCTCCAAACTATTTATCTTAAAGAGAGACTCATCATTTTATTTTTTATTTTGCTAACAATACATAAGTTTTTTGTGTAAAAACTCTTGCTGTACCCTTGTATGAGTCTTCTTTGATCTGACACATCAGTAAAATTCTGTGGAGCATCCGCATCTATTACAGAGGAGCCGAGATTTCATTGAGCCCCATCGACCCCACATGTTATCACACACTACGTTGTATTTTCTACAATACTCTGGCTGGGAAGAACCATAATGAAATCGAGGATCCACAAACCCTACGAAGCATTAAGAAGTTTAGCTGTTTCAAGAAAATCCGTTTCTGGAATCTAATCCAATCTCATCTAATCGGGGACCTGTGACATGTTAGGTTTCACTATATTGTTTTAAGGTGCGTAATGATATATTGTAGTGTAGTATACTTCACAAATTCTAAAATGTGATGACATCAAAGTATCATGCAGGCTAAATCCCTCATCTCATCAACCAATTACTGCTTCTAACGGACACCTACTAGTGATATAATACACCTTGGCAACACACTGAAACAGCTGTATGTGACATGATACATTAAGATTCATGTCCCACTGGCACAGGTCAGAGGTCAAACATGTTAACAGGAAAACAGAAAACTGTGGCTGTAAGATTTCCTGGCAACTTAACATTGACAGGGCAGTGTGTGTTAAAGAGAGCAGGTTTAATGTCTCACTCTCTGCGTCTTTTTGGTCGAGGGCATCGTCAGGCAGCTTCTTCAGGTAGTCTTTGAGCAACATCTCGTAGCGAGGAATCCTTTGGACCGGCTCCAGCATGTGGTGCTGCAACGTCAGGTTCCCACACACATCTTGTTTCTGTTGGTTCAAACACAAAAACAAAGATCTGAATTGATTAATCACAGAGACACCGTATGTGTAATGGGGAGCTCAGAGAAGGCATCCATCTAGAGCTAGATCTGAATAAAAAAGAAAAACACATATAAAGAATAAAGTATATTAGACACACACAAACCTGTATATTCTGGACAACACTCTTGAACTGTGAAGATCGCTGTGTCCAGGTGTTGACCAGGTCCATGGCTCGGTCAAAGTTCTTCACATATTCTCCGTACATCTTCATGAACGGAGCCAGTTTCTGGAGGATGTCTCCAATACGAGGGTTGGAGTCCCTACAGCAAACACAGTCCAACACAGGAGACGAATGAATAAGCTTGAATTCCTAAAGCCTTTTCTGACCAAAACCTTCTTAATCTCATTTTATCCCCCAAGACTTGACTGACATTCATCAAATTATTCAACTGTATCAGGAGCAGGTGGCAGTGTGTCTCAATCATTATTTTAAAATATGGTGAAATCGTTTTTGAGTGTGGAGGAACATATCGCTGAACAGTACATGTTAAATGGAGACAATGTTGTTTACATTGTGATCTTTGTTTAATGCTATGTGATCTGATTCTGAAAATGATACAAAGCAAACTTCAGTAAATAAGATCTTTTTTGTTTTACAATTCATACTTCTTGCACCAATTCTCAATTTTATTTTCTCTATCTTCCAGTTATGGCAACGTTAACTTAACTTTAAAGTTCAGCTTGTTGCTACTTTTTGTCCTGCAAGAGGAAGTTAACAATTTTAAAATTCAAGCTACAGGTACATCTCACCTCATGGCATTTCTTAAACTTGGATTTTAAACCCATCAAAGGTTATTTTACCATAGGTATAAGACAGACAGTGTTTGAGATCAAGTACAAAACAAAGGCTTATAACAAAGGAGACTAATCTCTAGAACTTTCTTCTTAAGGTCAACTTTTCTGAATTGCTGTGTGGGTGTTATGTATAATAGTTTAAAGTTTTTCTATCTAAGCCAGTAAACATAAGATATATTTAAGCCAGTATAATGAATTCCAACAGTATAGGTCATAAATCCCAGCCCTTCCATGTTAGCGAATGGAACATGAGCCAAGCTAAAAACCCAAAGTACAAATCAAATTAGTTTTTTGGTAGATATTATCATGCTGATGTGTGTACAAGCAGTCATTTTCAAGGTGTGTGTTTTCAAAAAGTTAATTGATATAAAAGCGGTGTGTTTCAGGTGATTTGACAGATTTGATTGGTTGCCTGATACGTCACTCAACTACTTGGTCACTACTGAATAGAATCTGGATGCGAAACTCCAAGATGTCAGACAATGTATCTGGCTTCACTTTTACCTAGTGGAGGTAAGTGGTGACACATCTGTCTACTTTAACACTGGAGGTGAAAGAAAGAAAATGTTTTCATTCTGCAACTCTGACACACACAAAAAACACAACCTAGCAACCAGACACTGCAAGAAAACTTAGCAATAATGTCACCCACTGCTGCCCAGATGTCTTAAGAAATTCAACCAACACCAACAGTCTCACTGACCACTAGAGCGCCAAACCATCTCCAGCATCACACTGATGCTCTAGGAAAACTGTTAAACTGACTGCTGAGTGTTTTTCCTCACCATTCTCCAGTGATGCGTGTCTTGAGCTCAGGGAGCAGGAACTTGTCGTGGAAGCAGTAGATAGAGGAAATGTTGGAGAAAATCCCTGTAATGACGTCCTGAGGGATTCCAGCCTCTGTGAGCTTAGTGCAAAATACCTGGGTGGGGAAAAAAAAAGCCATATTTGTTTACAAACACAAATCCAACTATGTCCAAACACCCCAAATCTGGCTCCTGTTCACGGAGCACGGCTATAAACACTGACAGTGACATTTCCTTGTTGGCACTCATCCACACAAACAGTCATCTTCTCCACTGTGTGGCAAGCAGCTAAACGTGAGTGTAACTATAGTACAAGCTCTTGGGACATTTCTATAAGCTAGATAAACTTTGACTTGTCACTGACACATTAAAAATCAGTTCATAACCTGAGACAAGCCATAGAAACTATTTTACAAGTCAATATTGGTTTACTCGGTGTGATAGCTGCCCATGTGAAACAGTCTTTCTGAAGTTTGTGACAGTAATAATAATATGTGATGTCACATTATTAGACTGCAAATGCATAACAGAAAGCCTGAGTTAGAATCTGGAGGTGTGGAGGTCAAAAGGTGTGGGTATTTACAAGGGAGCGAGGATCTAAACAAATGCTATTGAGGAATTTCTGTTGAGTCGCATTTAGGAAAATGTAGGATTCTGTGTTTTTGGAGCTTCACATATAAAAGTCAGGATATCGCTGCCTATGCAGCTTCAGTTTTTTTCAGTTCAGTTTTTTAGTTCATCTCTTGAACTCATTCAATCGATTCATTGATTGTCAGAATTGTTAATAATTAATTTGATGGACTAATGGATTAGCCTAGTCACAAAAACAGGCGGGGAGTATTGTTTCCATGGAAAGCAGCGTGGTGTCAAAAACAGGAAGTTAACTGTGAGGTTTCTCTGCCCTCAGTAGCAAATAAACCATAGCTGATTTGTAAAAGGGCAGCTGTACATCTTTTCTACCACAGGAGCTGAACAAAGAGGAAGAAGAATCAACCACCAGGAGTGAATTCTCATCACAAACGTGACATGTGAAGACAAATACATCGACGCATTTACAAAAATGAGAAATGAAGCATTCCATAGGAGGAAGTGATGATTTGTGATAGTAAAGCAGAGCACCTCATGTTTGGGGTGACAAAGCTGTATTTTTGCTGCTCATGTATAAATATAAACTACATACAAATACATACTGTACATACAGTTTCTCACATGATCATGCTTACACTGCTCTGAGTAATCTAGCCAACAAGGAAGAGTTCCTGTCCAGGGATCACAGTGTCAACCCAGCTCAGCCCTCACCTGTAGATAGAGCCCACCACATGCACCAGTCTGATAGCTCAAAATGTATATAATATTTATGAACACTGCCTCTCCTCCTCCTTCTCCCTCTCTCCCCCCTACCTCTGATTGCTCTACTCTGTTGTCTGTTGTTGGGCATCCAAACACTCTGTCACACTCGCAAAGCCTCTAACAGAGGATCAGCATTACCTGGTCGAGGAGGTTGAGTCTTTTGACGTAGGCCTCTTCAGTGTGGAGAAGCTCTTTGGCAATGTTCAGGAGCTTCTGAGCCTCTGAGCACTGAGGGGAACAAACAGACACTGAGGATTATGTCTGACACTCAAAAGCAAGGAGAAGATAGACGTGAGCAGACACCCCGTCATATGACTAAGGAAACCTTGCAACCTTCTTCTTCAGCATCTTAAGACTTGAAGAACAGACGGTATTTTACCAGACAAAAAGCATTTGATCATTCACTGAAAGATTTATAGTATTATAAACATATTACAAGGCACTGATAGAGTAGGTTGATGTGGCTAAGTTAGTATGAACAACAAACGTCGGAGAGTCCGCGGAACATCAACACGTTATTCACCACCGTCAACCACAACACACTGTACAGTGTGACACTATCCTCACACCTCGGCCATTAATCTAACTTCTTGGTGCAATGTCTTTCTAAAAATGAATAGGTTGTTGTGCATGATGGAATTGTCACTGCAATGCACAAATAGGCTGAAGTTACACTTTATGCTAAACACAAAGAATGTGCAGCTGTATAACTGTAATATGTGTAATACACCGATCAGCCATAACAGCCACCGGCCTAATACTGTGTACACAAGAGTCAGTGTGGCAGTTGGTTGGCACTTGTGTCACTCTGCGTGTCACGGCACATCTTGTGTGAATCTGTCTGCTTCCACAGTTGTACTGTCAGGAAGAGCACAATTTTGTCTAACATTCTGTGAAAAAACATGTTAAAGGAGTGAAAACTGTGGTTGTGAGGACAAATTAGAGTTCAACAGCCTCCCGCTCTAGGTGTGATATCACCACTATAGCCACTGAATGTTTCTCTTCATAGAGGCCAAAAAACAGTGTTTCTCATTTTCACCAATTTTAACAAAGATTCAAACTAAATCTAATCTTTTGAAATAGATGCATAAATTTTGAGATTCAATCTACAGTAGGTCAACCTCATCATCAGCGATCTGTGGGTGTCCATGTCTGTCGCCTGTCCTTCCTTAGACACTGTTGGTTGGTCCTAACCCCTGCAGACCAGGAACACCCAACAAGACCTGCAGTCTGGGAGATGCTCCAACCCAGTCATCACAGTTTGGCCCTTGTCAAAGTCACTCAGATACTTAGGCTTGCCCTACCAAGTGTTAATGAATATGGTGGGAAATACTCCATATTTTTGTTCAGTGTCAAATAGTAAATGGTCTTATACTTGTAGTATATACTTATACTTGTACTTGTCTTATACTATAGTGCCTTTCTATGCTTTACAGCACACTCAAAACACTTTCACACTACTTGGCCATTCACACACCCAAATGCTCACACACCGGTGTCATCACCGGGAGCAACTGGGGATTCAGTATCTTGCTCAAGGACACTTCAAGATGCTGACTGGACAAGCTGGGAATCGAACCGCTGAGCCACAGCCGCCCCCAAATCCAGTGAAAAACCAAAGTCTATGTTAATTCATCTCTCAGTACTTTCTAACATTTCCAGCCTGTCTGTTACCCAAGCCCATTGTTCCCTATTATAGAAAGGCTCATAAATGTATAGTTTCTTTATTTATTTTTTGTTAAAAAGATTCAGTTATTTCCTAAAACCACTGGGCACTGAGGTTTTTAGGAAACTACTTAAACTGGGGGTAAAAACTACATTTTAATAGGGACTATTTTCAGCTGACTGTCTGGTGCACTACTGAGTAGTTCCCTCAGCAGGGCAGTATATGTAGGACTGAGTCAAAATAAACAATGAACTACCTAAGTTCACTGATGTGTGGACAACCATGAAGCTCTAAGCTGTCATTCTATGTACACACTGGTAGATTTAATCCTTTACTGGTCTGATTGTTTTTATGGCACTTGTTGACTATAAAGATAAATATAAACTGCCCGCCGGCTTACACATTAACGTTTGTGGCTGTGGCTGTGACACTGTTTCAGTCACCAGTTTAGTTCTGCTGTGGTAACCTATGAAACTGATATGACATGATATGCCATTAGGAGACATGATGAAACAGAAGTGCCGTCTCTGTGAGAGCTAAGATGACATAAAAATTGGATGATTAAACATAAAAATGATGTTGCTGATTCATCCCAGTGACACAGAATGCACCAGAAACAGCCTATTGTGACAACAGCTGTCACGCACATGTTGGTCTTACCATAGCTGTGAGACCATTCACTGACATTAAACATTTCATAGCTTCTTACCCTAAACCTTACCCATCAGAGCTAAATGGCAAAGCCCGGCCCTTAGCCTAACGTTAACCCTAAAAGAAAGTCTTAACCCTCAAACAGCCCTTTCAAGCTGTGAATACTGGCCAGAATGTCCTCATATTAGTGTACCAAAAAGAAATGTACTGTACACACACAGATTCTTGATGGGAGGCACCACAAATTATATTGTTATTATACTGCTATTCTGTCAATGCTGAAAATCTAGCATTAGTGTTACTATGCCAGCAAAGCAAAGATGATGGCACTCAATGTCAGCAAAATGTTTTCTTTTCAGTCTCTTACCCTCTTGTGTGCACATTACTGAAAAACCCACATCCTCTGTGATAAGGCTGTTATTATACAACCATCAACATGTCAGCTGTAGTGTCAGAGACATTCATGCAGCCACATACAGCACGCCTGTAGACTAACAAGCACACACACACGCACACACAACACACCCTTCCTCTGCACAACAGGGTTGGGATCAGGAAACAATGGAGTGTGGAGATATCTTCCCCAAAAGACTGTGGGTGTGGACTCTCAGCAGAGGCCATGTGTTTGTGTGTTCATGTGACAGTCACAGGAGTTTTGGGTGTGTTATAACAGACTGAGACATAACTATGGCGAACAACTATGATAGCAATGCTGTGTCGAGTCTACTGAAACTCTCCCCTGAGTGTATGCTGCCTAACATTTTGTGTTTGTCTGAGCTTTTGTCGTTTCTCATTTAACTTTGTTTAATCTTTCTGCCATCACCTCCTCAATGGCCATTTCTTTGGTATGCCAATATATTTTAAGACTTTGATGCTTTTATATCAGTCTCCACTACAGGAATCACTGAAAGCACAACAAGGCCACCAGAAAGACTGTGTGCACTGTTTGTGGTATCAGTGTTGTTTGGAATCAATAGTCAAACTGAAGGACAAGAGAAAACTAAAACCTCTCTCTGGCCTCTTTCATCTAGCAGTCAATAAAAGTTCTTGTTTTAGCTTTTAGGCAAGTATCGGCCCTTTTATGTAACCGCAGAGCTGCTTTTAGATACAAGTCTTTCACTTGTGACCAGCAAACTAAGCCTGTAACAGCGTCTAATGTTTCATGCAGAAGTATTCCCTGAAATTGTGCACCCATGCTGAGATAATAATAGACACAAGCTACTTTTTCCACTACATGAAAGGTAGGCTGACTGTCTGAGATGAAGCTTTTAAACTTGCAGGATGTGCTCAATTTGAAACATGCCCTACAAATTCTTGGAAATTATGACGCAACATGAAAACTAATTTAAACAGTGAGGGCTGGAAGGTGGGGGGATTAAAGGAGCTGTGATACATTAATAAACACCTGGAAAATGTGGGGGTATTGTTAGGACTTTAAATTATAGTTGTTTGGGTTAATGTTATGGCTTGATGAAGCTTAACCTTCCTGTTATGTTCTGGGTCAAATTGACCCAGTGCAAAGTAACAAAAAAAATCTAAAAAAAATAGTTAAAAATATTTTATTGGTATGAAACTTCGTCTGCTTGGCGTAATAGGTGTGATCAACATATAAAATGAAAATGGTTCAATTCACATATTTGCAACATCCCCCTGCATGTTTATATTACAAAGATACTGTTCAGGTCAACATAACAGGAGGGTTAAGTGTGCGAGGTACTCACTTTGGGTGCCTCTGTGTGTGCATCTATCAGATACCCAGTCTGTGTGTCTGTCAGAGAGTGTATCTCTCCGCTGCTCCCCTCGTCTAAGTCACTGTCCTCATCCTGTGTTGAGTCTCGCTTGTTTCCCAGGGTAACACAGCAGGACACGCTCTCTGTTTCAGTGACACTGTCGTAGTGGTCCTCCTCGTCAATGGCGTCCTCGTTGGGGAACCCCTCCCCTTCTACGGCACACGAGGGGCTGTCAATGCCACTGTCCCGGTTAGGAATCTTCTGCTCCGAGGAGTCCGGATTGTCCAGGAGCTCTTGGGAGGAGCCTTCCTCCCGCTCCACATCGTTAAGGCAACCGACCCTGTGTGTGATGTCATCCTCCGCACAGTCATCCAGCACGCCATCCTCTGAGCCATCGATGTGCATGGTTGCCAGAGAGGACAGATCAGATGCCTCATCAGTCTGTTCAGAGGTGCTAAGTGCAAGTTTGTCCATAGGGGAGGAGTCTCCTGCAACCTTCGCTGTGGTGTCCTGGCTGCAAGAGGAAGCGATGTCAGACACAGTGTCCATTCTCAGACACAGGTGCAGCTGGGACCGTGGGAACACCCCCAGGATGGGGACCCTAGGAAAATAAAAGACAATATCACATTTGTTTTAAGGAAAACTGTGTATTAAACTGGAAAGCTAGAAAAGACATATAATCTCTGGGATTTGTTGGGTTTTATCCTTAAATTGACAAAACTCAACCAGACACATGAGAATCAGATGCAAGTTAACACTGTGAAACTTGTCCTTGTATACTGGCACACACGTCCACACACCTAAAATATCACAAAGTAAACAGTAAATCTGACAAACCAGCCAGACAAAATTTCTGATGCCTTACTTTGAATTTTCGAACCTCTCGATGAGCAGCCCCACCTTCTGGGCCTCTCTTTGTGGCTGTGCTCCCTGGCCAGGAGGGGTCAGACTGGGCTTGGGTTTGGGCGGAGGAGGGGGAGCAGGCAGAGGCCTCGAGGGAGCTGGAGGGATCCTCTTGAGTTTCTTGTCTTGCCCAGGGGCAAGCAGGTGCACAGGTTTAGGGGGCACTGCAGATGCACAAGTCCAGACAAGGCAAGAAGAGCAGAGCAACAGAGAAGCATGAGGCTGCAGGCAACAAACAGAACAATCAGGTAACATGTATAAATCCAAATGAGGACACCTCCATGGTTATGTCCATGTGTTAAGCCTGCTTGTTTCCTCTTAAGTCCTCAAGACAAACCTCCAAATAAAAAATGAATACAGTCCAACACAGAAACATATAGTAAGTGGTGCAGACGAGTGAGACCAACTCCGAACTTCAGCTATCTGCCGACTTCCTTATTTCAGAACAGGATGCTGAGATGAGTGTGTGCGTAAGCCACCGAGGTGAAAAAAAAAAAAGCGCACACACAGAGAA